ACAAAAGAAAGAGAAAAGGGGGGGAGGGGGGGGAACGAAAAGAAAGCTGGCCCCCCACATTCAGCAATCAACTTTTTGTGGCTTTTCTGCTTGTTTCTTCGTCTTGCTGACTGACGTTTTTGTTTGACCATTGGCTGTGTAGCACAGGGTTTGAAGATTCGAGTCTCGAGATGTTTTCTCTTATCCCTGCTTTGCTCCAGCTGTGTTATCTCACTGCACCCTTCAGTGCTGGAGCCAGATGTTGCAGGTCAGTGCCGTGGCTTTGAGTCTATTCCCCATTCTTCGCTTTGCTGCAGTCCTGGTATTGCTGAGCTCATATTGGAATAAGAAATAAAGGGGGATTTAGGTTGAAAACAAAGACGTGCTGTCTGCGTGTTCAATTAGGGGCGAATAGTGAAATCTGTGTTCCTCCCTATTCATTGGATATTGCATTAAAAGCATCTTCTCCTAATATATACTTATGTACAGCCTGCTTTATGTGGCTTTTACCACACATGAAACCGAGACGTTATAATCAAGGCCGTAATAATGCTGAGTGACTGAAAGTAACTTCTGATTGTTTTGGCTTTGGTTGAATGTAGGACCCGAAAGTGCTGACTTGTAACAAAATGGGATGAATGAAAGCCTCGTTTAGAGCTGTGCTCATACCTGAATGCTGCTGGGCATCAGCGGGGCTGATGGAAAATAGACATAGGATGGGTGAGAACTGTGAAGGCCTCAAATTGGGTTGGGAGAGGTTTGTGTTGGATATTAGGAACAATTTCTTAGCCTGGAAGAGCGGTGATGCAGTGGTACAGCTGCCCAGGGAGCAATGGAGTCAATGTCTGTGCACGTGGGGATGTGGCACTGAGGGACGTGGGCAGTGTGGGGTGTGTTGGTGATAGCAGAGGTCTTTTCCAGCCTTCATGATTGTATGAATAATTTCCGATAGGAACGTTTGTGGAGATGACAAAAAACCGCATTCCTGAGAGAGCTGGAAATAATTTGTGTTGCTGCTATGTGAGAGGTTAAATGAGCAACTCAACTTTCTGGCAAGCACGGTGAGAAGCACCTCCAGAGGCCGTGAGTCAGCACTGCTGGAGCAGCAAGAGAGCAGCAGGAGGATGCAGAGATGTCAAAGCAAAGCCCTGTTTTGTCCTTAGAACGGCCCACAGTTGGGACAGCATCTCAACCTTACAGGAGAGAGCTGCCCAAATGGCACCGAGTCGCCTGTTGGGATTGATGGAGCGTGTGCTGTCGGTTCATAATTTGTGCTGAAATACTCTCAGTAAATACGTTTGTGAGAGCAAGAGCAGGGGTCTGGTGTTGTACTGAGTGGGGACACTGGGATGTGTGTGAGCGATACGGTACTGACATGGTGAGTGGGCATGGTGGGGTGCAATTGGTGATCTCAGAAATCCTTTCCATCAGTGATTCTATGACCCAGCTGCACTGGGGGTAAAAAAAGCCACGACCCAGTGCTGAAGATCCCCAAGCAATGAGAATCTGCTGCTGCTTCTGCAGAAGTTCTTGGGACGACGGTGCATGAGATGAAATCAGCAGCGGTGGCGTGGATGTGGCTCCATTTTGGGGGGCGTTCTGCTTTGCTCATGTGATAATGAGCAGCTTTGATAAACAACTGTGCTTAGTGGCAAAATCTTGGAAGCCCGTAAACTGTACATCAGATTGGCTGCTGTTTTGCATAAAGAAATAATTTGTTGTTTAGAAGAATGGAAGGACTCTCTATCCCCAAGAACCATGCAGGAAGGACTGGGTGCTGTCGTGGTAGCATCCCACCTCACTCTGCTGCACGGAGTGCTGTGATGCACTTATGTAATTACTCAGGGTACCACTTTGCTTTTCCTGTTTGTCTGATTAAAAAAAAAAAAAAAAAAAAAAAAAAAAAAAAAAAAATAAGATCTTTTGCTCAGTCATTTCCTTTCTCAGAGTATAAAACCACGTTTCAACAGTGCATGTGGGCTGACACCGCAGGGAAGGATCATGCTGGGAGGCTGATCTTGGACTGGCTGGGCTCTTGGGGTGTCCTGCAGCAGAGGTGAGCTTGCACTATGCTTTGCTTGCTCCTGCTTTTCCTGCTGACAGCTGCATTTGTGTGCAAGGAACGTCAGTGCTGGGTGAGCTCTGGAAACGGACCTCAGAGGGATAGAAATCTGCCTTTGCTCAGCGGATGCCCAATTGGGGAAGAAAAGGAGTGATGCTGCCTGGCTGGGGCATGGCTGGGCTTTTCCCATGGAGTGCTGGGAATTGCTGAGCCAGCAGCCGAGAGGACGAAGCTGGCTTCTGTCCCATGCAAAAAAAAACCCTAATCTGGGTGTTCTTTTTTTTTTTTTTCCCCTAAGCTCATCACCACTGAATACCCGTGGCAGAGAGCAGGGCTGGGCAGCAGCTTTGCCTGCAAGCTGCTTGAAGAGAGAATGAGCGTAACCCCGTTTATATGGGGCTGCTGCCTCCTCCTCCTCTTTTTGCTGGGTGTTGTGTTACAGCCTTTGGGAGGACGGTCCTAATTTTCCTCGCCCCAATGAGTTTCTTCCAACAGCGGTGCGATGCAAAGCGACACTCCTCTACTCCTGCCTCCTTTTTTTTTCTATTTTTTTTTTTCCCCTTCTGTTTTACAGGCCGATTGCCAAACGGGATGATCCAGAGTTGTGTCCTCTTTGCCTGGAGAGCATAAATACCACTGGGGAGCTCTGCGAGACCGCAGTTCGTGCTCGCTGCTGAGCCGAGACCTCGCGTCCCCACGCCTCCCCGGGCTCCCTGCATCCTTTCCCCCTCCTCGCTGAAATATTGCAGCTATATAATTTATTTCCCAGCAGCAAGCTTGGAGGAGTGACTGCTTCCTAAGAAGTGCTCAGCAAGGTGAGTTTGCACGCATCTGAATTGTGGTTTGGGGTGAGTGTTTGGATGCAAGGAGGGTCTCTATGCAGTCAAATTGGCACAGTGTGAGTAACTTCTCCATCAAGCTATCTGAGTGTATGATTTGCAAAGGGTGATGAAGGACTGATGTGCATTTATCTCTAATGAATGGGAAGGGTTCGTGTAGAGGGGAAACTGACCAACATAAGGGATGATGAATTAATTGGCTGCCCATAGGCACATCCATTCTGTTCCAGGGAGCTGGAGTTGGTGTGGCTCTGAAGTCCCATCTAGAAGGAATTTCACGGTGTTGTCACATGGTGTGTCTGTTTCTAGTGGGTTTTTCATGTGGTTTTGCACAGAATCTCAGCCACTGGGGCTGCATGGGAGTGGACTGCAGTGTCAGAGCCAGATGTTTCCATGTGGCCTTGAGGATGCTGAATCCAAGGATCTTGTCGTCCCCCTCTTCTTTTGAAGCTGGGGTCGTTCTGTAAAGCATTAAATGTGTGCATCTCAGTTCCTGCATGAAGTGCATTAGGAGTTGGATTTATGGGTCCCTTCCAACCCAGGTTATTCTATGATTCTATTGTGGCTTCCTCACTTGAATTTTTTGTACAGGGATCAGTTTGACCCCAGGCAGAACCCCCATTTGCTGCTTTTGGTGCTAGCCCTTGTGTTTCACTGCAGCATCAGCCTGTCCCACACATCACTCCCAGCTCTCGGGATGCTTTGACTGCATGTGTTTCCCATATGGAGGAGCAGAACCCACTTGTGTGCTCCCCAGGAGGCAGCTGAAGATCAATAGCTGTGTGACGGTGAGGCAAGGACGTAATGAAAGGCAGAAGGCAGCACTTCTGCCAGCCCCCAGCTCCTCTGTTCCCTGTGACATGCAGCTCCAGCTCTGAGCTGGGGAAATAGCTTTCTATAAATACTCTTTTCCAAAGTCCAGTGCTGCTTTTTCACTTCCTCGGAGCCCAGCAGAAGCTCCTGCTGTCCCAGCTTGGATTTGCCTTGCAAAGTATTTGGGAGCTGCTTTCTGCCGACTCACCCATTTCTGAGCACTCCCAGATGTGTCCCTGGCACCAGCATCAGGAGCCTGGTGCAGTTGAAGGGAAGCATAACACTGCTCCTAAAACCTTGAAAATAACAGCAGAGCCTCGCTCAGCTGACTGTCAGCTGAACATTTTCCCCCAAAAATGTCAAATCTCATCCCAAAGGCAAAATATGCTTTTCATCTTCCCTAATGAGGAGTTACTAGTGCAGACTGGAGCCTTTGCCCAGCACTGGGCTGGCTGAGCTCTGACACATGGCCCAGTGTTTGGTTGCACCTGGGCATGAGGCTGTCGGAGTGGGGAGGGGGGTGTGAGCAGATGGATGTCTGAACTCAATGAAATGTGAGCATCTCTCTGCTGCTTTCAGTTAACCTTTGGCACTGCGGCTCTTTCAGGTTGGATATTAGGAAAAATTACTTTTCCAAATGAGTGGTTGGGCATTGGCACGGGCTGCCCGGGGTGTGGTGGAGTCACAGGCTCGGAGGTGTTTCAGAACTGTGGAGATGTGGCACTGAGGGACATGGTCAGTGGTCATGGGAGGGGGGGGGGGGGTTGGGATTGGACTTGGGGATCTTAGGGGTCTTTTCAAACCTTCATTATTCCATGATTCTCTTTGCTCTCATCACCTCACCATCCCCTTGGATGTTCCTTGCTCCTCACCTGCAGCCAAAGCACGGGAATTGTCTTGAACACCCAGAGTGAATAAGGCTGCTCAAATGACCCCTTTTTGGGAAGGTGCAAAGCAAGATACAGGGAAGAACATCACCAGGAATAATGCACTGTTTGTTGCAAAGCTCCGGTCAAACCCAGCCATGTTGGCTCGGTCCTGGAGCTCTGCGATGGAGCAGCAGCTGGCTTTCCAGGCTGCCCTTTCTGTAAGTTCAGTGTTTGCCTTAGATGGGTGGTGGGTACAGGCTCCTGTTTAGCTGAGGGCACCCGGCCAAGTGAAGGGGTACAGCAGCAGCATATGTTGGCTGTCTGTTCCCTCTTGCTCTACCTACAGGGCAGGCTGCAGGGAAAATCGCCGGTGCTAAATGGCTGCATTGTAAACGGTGGTGGCAGAGCATCTATTTTTAAACTCTTAGGGAAGTGCCTCAAAGTAGGAACTGTTGCTGGGATTTGGGTCAGACAGTCTAGCAAAGCGACGGCTCTGCTGCCCCGCTGTTAGAAAGTCGGGGGAAGGCAGCACTCAAGGCTGGGACAGGAATGAGTTTAAAGCTGGGGTTGCCCCCAGGCCACCAAACGTCCCAGTCTTTAGATGTGCCTGGGGACAAGGAGCATGTGTTGGGCTTGCTCTGCAGGAAACGGCAATCAGCTGTTACCTAAACTTAGTAAATATATTCCTATGTTGTTCTACCACGGCAAGGGCTTAATGCTCTGCCTGCAGACAGGCTGATAGAAGCTGGTTTTCATTCTGCCTTATTACGGCCAAAAGCTCTGAACAGAGACTTCTGCTCTTTGGTGAAGACGTCCTGCATATTTTCAGGGCTTCTGGATGACTGTAGAGTTTCTCCACCTGAGCAAAGCTGCTCTGCTTTGTGGATGCTGTTGGTTGTGGGGAGGAGGGGATTTGGGACTGTGTTCAGCCGCGTGTCACTGGGTTGAAGCTTTTCTGATAGATCCTGATGATCTGGGTACACTCTCAGCATCTTTGTAATGGCGTTATCAAAACCAAATCCTGATGTAAAGGCAGAGATAAGGAAGCTTTCTTCCAAACTTTAGCCTGAAGGAGAGGGATGCTGTGCTCACAGTCTGCATAGGTACTTATTGCCTCTTGTGGACAATAAGGTTTGGATATTTGGAAAAATTTATTCTCAGAGCAGTGAGGATCAGCACAGACTGCCCAGGGAAGTGGTGCACCATCATCCCTGGAGGTGTTCAGTGTGGAGATGTGGCACTAAGAGACATGGTTAGTGGGCATGGTGGGGATGGGTTGGGGTTGGATTACATGATCTTAAAGATCTTTTCCAGACTAATGATTCCATGATTCTAACTCTGTTCTGGAGGCTCTTAGATCCCCTCCTAAAGAGGCCACAGAGCCATACAGCAGCCCATGCTCTCCTCTCTGAATTGCCTGCAATCTGAATAAAGCCAGCCTAGCTGCGCAAGCTTCATTGGACAGAATGTGGGTAAGGGAGGGAGAGGAAGGGAGGAATTAATGGGAAATGGCAGGTGGAGCCTCACAGATCCAACATTCTTGCCAGAAAGTGGATGGGAATGAAACACAGCCATCAAACTGAGCAGGTCAGCCCTAGGAACGCCTAATCTCCTGCTTGGGAGATGCTGGGTGCTCCGTCTGCTTTTCACCACACCATAGCTCACCCTCTGGCCATGCTCCCACCTGCTGTAATGCTCTACAGCAGCGTCAGCGAGCACCTCGGTGC